CGGCTGGGCCATGCCAAGGATGATCCCATCAAGCGCGCCTTCGCTGAGACTCTGTATGATGCTGTGGACGAGATCAAGCGACGCTTAACAGGGCGGGGGCTTAATCCACGAGATCGACAACCCAAGGCAAATAAGCTCAGCTGAGTGATAGAAGGTGCCGGCAATTCATGATCAAGCAGTTTACAATGATCGATGATATTTAGTTTTTTATATCTGCAGCTGATGTCAGCTGTGATGTGAGATGTTGGCACACGCTGTGCATGCTGCATGTATGTACAGTGAAATTCATGATAATGAGCAATCCCGATCCCTGGTGAGATCCAATACCATCCCGGCTGTGCAAGTTGTCAGGATTTGCAGATATCATCGATTATGATTGCAGCACATCCCATGTGTAGGACATATAGCCGGTGAACTGAAACGGATCGGCAAGGTGGGGCTGCCTCCCCTGCTGAACCTGCCACATGATCTTCGATCTGCTGAAGTCATGGCTGCATGGCCTGCATGGCAGGGTTGGGGAGGGGTGAACTCAAGTAGGGGGGGGGGTCAAGGCTCTGGGTTTGTTTCTGGTTCCTCTGGAAGGTTGAGACTCAGCATTGCAAAGTTAGCTTGACTAGCAACTGGTGTGAACAAAACTACCTGGGGACTAATGCTACATGTCCGTATAGCCTGCTACTATACTGGGAAGGATCTTTCATATTAGGGCTGCTAACACATGCACACTTACCAAATGCATACATGAATGTGTGCATCGACAAATTTACATGCACCTACATAGACACTATTATACATGTGCACACATATATATATATATACACACACATACACATATAGAGGACATGATAATACTACACAAACAAAATACACAAGCTGCTACATATGCTTGACATGTGCATGTGTGCACACATGTGATGTTAGGTGGCTAGCTAATCTATCAGGGTGGCACCTGAAAAGTAGAATTTATTGATTGTCCATATAGGCTTGGGTTTACACCAGCATTGGGGGGGGAGTTTTACTTACATGGTCTTAAGGCCCCCACCCCCCAGTACTAGCTGACAGCCAGCCACTCTAAGACATGACCCTATGCTACTCTGCTTGCATACTATGATTTGAGAGCAGTCACTGAGGCAGCACCGTTGGGATGGGTACATGCTAACCTTGATCCCTTGCGTGAGTTCCTCAAGGCAGAACGGGATGCAGGTAGATTTTCACCTGCACACGCAGTGCCACTCTAGATCACATATCTATGTGGTTAATTACTAGTGATGAGACCTAGTATGTGAACAGATGTGGGTCCCAGCATAAGTTTGCTGATTACAATCATGTGACAGTGGCCTGCTGTCAATTCACTGATCATGAAGCATGGCAGTTCGTTTCCGTGCTGCCTCGACTGGGGTACAACAAAACTAAAACAGGGTCAAACACTAGCACGCAAGTCTATATATCAGCCAATAAGCCATCCGATTCTAGTGATCCAATGAAAGGCTGCCACCTGTGAGCACACTAGAATTAGCAATTCGAGAGCCTAGGTCATTTGCTCCTGGATTCAGAACACAAACTTAGGTAATACCTGATATCCTTATAAAATTACTGTACTAAAGAAAGCAAGCTTCAAGTGCTCACCAAGCCTTCATTTACTCTTATAACAGCAAATACCTCCTTGAAACAGCCCCAATAAGTCCTTGGTTCCCCATGGAGATCCTCTAACCCTAGGAAATATATTGTAAAATGAAAGCCAAGCACTACAAACTACTGAGAGTTGCGTCGGTGTCAACATTTTAGATTACTAAATAGCCTGATCATATTCCAAACCCTGTAAACTTATGGAAGAAGCCCTTTATAGGATTGAAGAAACGCAAGAATTACTGTTTTTTTCACAAACTAAAGCATTCTTTACAATGTATATACTACAGTAGCTAGGCAAATACTATCGATTCCTTGCCTAAAACCTTAAATATATTGTGCAAAAAACAGAAACCCTAGAGACAAACACTGAAAAAACAGGGAATGGAGACCAGTAGCTTCCGAACACAGCAAAACCAGGGGCGTGACAGAGCGTGACCGGGCGTGACGCGGGAGGCCCTTTTTCTATCAATGTAGGCCCCCGGGCCCGACATCAACATAATAGGCGTGACCGGGCGTGACGTCGTGTGACGCTCCAGGTGGGCCCGGGGTACGTGGGGGTCGACGTGGGTTTTATTACGTGGGCTTTGGAATCAGGGGCCTTATTTATACGTAGGGTGTGCGTTGAGCTCTGTGTGCTGTTCATGTTTGCCTGTGCATCGACAGCTACTTTAGCTTTCAAGGTGCACATTTTGTGCAGAGGGAACACATATACACTTGAGTATCATGGCCTCCAGTAGCCCTCGAGGGGGGCAGCCTGCCACATGGATGCATTCCTGTTGGTGGCATGCAATTTGTTCACATTAAGGTATCACTGGTTGTATGTATATGCATCATACCCTGGCATCTCAGGACATGCTGGACGATGTGTTTGCACAGGCCAATGAAAGGAGGGCAAGAGCAATCAACAAGATGATGCCACCGCATCCGGATGCAACACCATGCAAGCCGAGCAGCATGCGCAAAAGAACACAAAAGAGCACACCAGTGGACATGACCCCGACACCGACTCCAGGAGCAAAGCACCACAAGCAGGTCCAGCAGCAGAGCCCCGCAGCTGTGACTGGGGATACCCCTGTGCTGAAGCAGAAACTCAGCTTCAGTGACGAGTCTACGACTGATGCCCCGGCAGGCCCGAACTGTATTGTGAAGGGTTACTGGTGTATTCAATCACAAAGCCTTCCATATTCAGGAGATACCCCACTAAGAAACCCAATATCCTTCATAATTCATCCTGAATCCCTAATATTCTGAACCCTGACCCATACAGTACAAGGGGTGCTACGGTAAAATGTAGCTAACTGTTCACAAACCTTTTTAACTCTGCCAGAAGACAGAAACTGTGATCAGTACCATTAGATACATCCCTACATGCAGCCAATCTGTAAGAACTAGGTGCCCCAACCATATGTACAAGCCCTGAGCATCCCTTGTCCATGAAGGATCCACCACTGCCTCTGTGAACAGCTCTACAGCCTCCTGTGCGGGGTCTCTGGGAAGCTTGGCAGGCAACTGACAATTTGCTCTAGGGGGTGCTATAGGGGGATATCTTAAGTGATTGTAGCACCACCTTGCAGGTGATGTTATGGACTTGGTGGCTGGTGCAGCTACTGTGGCATGCTTGCAACATATGTTAAACACACGCAGTCTAATCTAATCCATAATGTGTTTGTGATATAAGGAAAAGGCTTCTGAGCAGAGCTCGACTACAGATGCAGGGCTGCCTGGGGCATGTTCACTTGGTGATGAGATTTGGATGCAATTAGGAGTCTTGTAAGCACACTCTTTTTGTTCTTAGTTGTGTATCTCTCTCTGTTTCTCTCCTCAGATCTCTTTCCCTAGATCTCCCACAAGGCTATGAAGATGTACCAGGCTCTCGTTGACACTGGCTTGGTGGGAAGCAAAGCAAAGCCCAGTGCAACAGAAGCAGCTCCTGCCATCGAACCAGCAGCAGCAGTGCCTTCACCTGCAAGCACCCCAGCAATTGAACCCCCACTGCCTACATCACCGGAACCTACAACAACCGACCCCGCAACAACACCGACACCAACAGCACCAGCATTTCCTGCTGCTACCTACACAAGTGCAGTGCCCCAAGCAGAACCTCCTGTTGCTGTGCCCTTCCAGCCTACTAGGGGCATAGTGGATGACTACCTGGACAGGCTGTATTTTGACAGCCACCGAAGATCTCCAGACAGCACTCCCATGTCTAGTGACATGGCAAGCCCAGCAGTGCAGGAGCTCACACCCGGGTTGAGCCGAGACTCAACCACAGCATCACCTATCATGCCCAGACTGCTGGATGCCAGCATGGAGCCACCCCCTGTGCCTGTGCTACCGGCACCAGCATCAGCAGCAGCAGCCCCAACAAGCCAAACAGGTGTCCCAGCAGTCATGCCAAGCCCTGTGGTTGCAGTCAGCACAGCTCCAGCAGTGATCACAAGCCCACCGGTTGCAGGTGCCCCAGCAGTCGACATGCCAAGCCCCATGGTTGCAGTCAGCACAGCCCCAGCAGTGATCGAAAGCCCACCGGTTGCGGGTACCCCAGCAGTCGTGCAAAGCCCTGTGGTTGCAGATGGCGCAGCCCCAGCAATGATCACAAGCCTACCGGTCGCAAGTGCCCCAGCAATCATGCCAAGCCCGATGGCAAGCCCACCGGTTGCAGGTGCCCCAGCAGTCGACATGCCAAGCCCGATGGTTGCAGCCAGCACAGCCCCAGCAGTGATCTCAAGCCCACCAGTTGCAGGTGCCCCACTAGCAGTCATGCCAAACCCAATGGTTGCAGACCCACCGGTTTCAAGTGCCCCAGCAGCCATGCCAAGCCCTGTGGTTGCAGTCAGCACAGCCCCAGCAGTGATCACAAGCCCACCGGTTGCAGGTGCCCCAGCAGTCGACATGCCAAGCCCGATGGTTGCAGTCAACACAGCCCCAGCAGTGATCTCAAGCCCACCGGTTGCAGGTGCCCCACTAGCAGGCATGCCAAACCCAATGGTTGCAGTCAACACAGCCCCAGCAGTGATCAACAACCCACCGGTTTCAAGTGCCCCAGCAGCCATGCCAAGCGCTGTGGTTGCAGTCAGCACAGCCCCAGCAGTGATCACAAGCCCACCGGTTGCAGGTGCCCCAGCAGTCGACATGCCAAGCCCGATGGTTGCAGTCAGCACAGCTCCAGCAGTGATCGCAAGCCCACCGGTTGCAGGTGCCCCAGCAGTCGACATGCCAAGCCCCATGGTTGCAGTCAGCACAGCCCCAGCAGTGATCGAAAGCCCACCGGTTGCAAGTGCCCCAGCAGTCATGCCAAGCCCGATGGTTGCAGTCAGTGCAGCCCCAGTGGTTGCAGGTGCCCCAGCAGTCATGCCAAGCCCGACGGTTGCAGTCTATACGGCCCCGGAAGTGATCACAAGCCCACCGGTTGCAGGTGCCCCAGCAGTCACAGCAGGGAATACTAGCCCGACTGTTGCAACCGTTGCAAACATGGCCCCAGCAGTGATCACTAGCCCACCGGTTGCAGATGCCCCAGCAGTCATGACAAACCCAATGGTTGCAATCAACACAACCCCAATGGATGAAGACACAGTCCCAGCATTGATTACTAGCCCCGGGGTTACCTATCCAGTGCCAGACTCACAAACCCTCATGGATGTCGATTATGAGGAGGACAGTTGCACACAGGTTGCAGCAGTGGCGCCAGCAGGTGTGCCTGTACCCAACACCTCAGCAGCTCCAGTTGTGCAGGTGGCCCCCATGAGCACAAACATGCCGGCAGAAAACCCAGCAGCTGTTGCAGCAGCAACACTAGCAATGTCTGCAGGCAACACAGCCCCAGCAGTGATGGCAAGCCCACCGGTTGCAGGTGCCCCACCAGCAGTCACACCAAGCCCGATGCATGCAGTCAGCACGGCCCCAGCAGTGATCGCAAGCCCACCGGTTGCAGGTGCCCCAGCAGCGATGCCAAGCCCGATGGTTGCAGTCAACAACACAGCCACAGCAGTGATCACTAGCCCACCGGTTGCAAGTGCCCCAGCAGCGATGCCAAGCCCGATGGTTGCAGTCAATAACACAGCCACAGCAGTGATCACTAGCTCACCGGTTGCAAGTGCCCCAGCAGCGATGCCAAGCCCGATGGTTGCAGTCAA